TTGCTTTGCTGACAAGAACGGGTAACATCTTTCCTGAACAGAAAACCTCTTCCACTAGACTTCCTATGCTAGCACGCTAGACTATTTCTCTCTGTGAAGCAATCAGTCATAAACAAACAGGCAGGCAGCACCCAGAAACTCAAATACAGAGATATTAGTACAGAGGAAAGATCCATCCATTGTTCTGAACACAAATCTAACCAAGCCGGACCACTGAAAGAGCATGCTCATTAGATTCTAGACTCAAGCCCACCCGAGTCCATACTGTTGCTGTTACCAGAACCACACACAGACCCTCTCTGAGTTTTGTCTTGATCCTTGAGCCATATGGGTAAGTAGAACATGCATCAGAGCAGTAATTCAAAATATGAATGAGTCATTCAGAACGGACCTCTGACTCTTACTGATCCTACAGCAACTGCTGCAATTGGTATTGTAGCTTATCAAAAGCAAGCTGCTTTGGGAAATCCCCATTTCGGGAAAACATCCAAAGGCTTTGGATCTGAGGACTAGATTTGGCTTTGGCTAATCGTTTCCAAAGACGTTTCTGCTGACACAATCATCTAGCAAACTGCAGAGACCAGAAAAGTGAAAGTTTCATGTTATAGTACACTTCTCAACAAGTCAGATACAGAGTTCCCACATAAGCTCACGTAAAGGCTTTCATCAACAGTATTTACCGCTGTACTGTTCTCAGGATCACGACTGCCCTAACCAAGGATAAGAAAACACTTGCTCTAATGACCCATCATCCCAAAACATTCAGATGCAGGTCAGTCCCCAAGCATACCGTTTCACTGTCCTTCCTTAAACTTTCAGCTCACTCATACGAACTCCCTAACCTTGAATGGAGGCAACCATAACCCTGCCAAGGAGTATTGCTTGAATTGTTTGTAGATAAACACACACTGCATCAGAACTATGAACAAGGCCTTCTGCAGAATCTGAGAATCCAGACCACGGTGTTTGAAAACTAAGTATACTTCAACCATATCTTTAAGAGTTACAAACAAATTGCAGCATAATGTACCATATATACATGCTCTCCAGTTATTTGAAGCGTGTATGTACGCAGATTCTGGAGCAGTGCCCGAGTTAATTTATGAGGCCAGTCATCACCTGAAGTCTCTGCTGAAGAAAACATTGAACGTAAAATTCCTGGTAAATTCTGTGCTCTAAATTGGGAGCACAGAACTGAGACTCACTATCAGCATCTTCTGGTAAGTGGTAAGCTGACTTCCTAAGAACCGTTGGTCACAAAGACAAATGTCTGCAGTGTCTAAATGTTTTAGTTAGGTCTTAGTAAGTTATTCACTGTGCAGCTGATGTTTGTCTCTAAAGGCAAACGGATCTCTTCAGTTACCTGGAGACACTAGGTCCGATACTGCAGATCCCAACCAGTACATATGTACCTCCAATGCACTAAGCACACAGGAATGGGAAAGGAGGAGATTTTGAGACCAAGACAGAAATTACTGCACTTATTGGAGGACAAGGATTGCTGAAGAAAAGGAAGCTGAAACAAAGAGCAACACAGCATGGGGCAAGGATACCTCTCCGCCTTTCAGCTCTCTTCAGCTAGGAAAGACGCGCTTGCATCTCTTTTCCACCCAATTCCAGAACACCATACTACAATGACTTTCACAGCACCACGGGGCATGTCTACACTAGCCTTGTGGTTAGGATCAGGAGTGCACTTCTGCAGAAACTCCCCACTGTCCCCACTAACTGTGCTTCAGCAGGCATCACAGAGAAGTCTCAGGGAATATGAGCTGGATGAAACCACACACGCAAATGCATTTCAGGAGTGCACCTACTGTACTCCAGATGGTAACAAACAGAAAAGTTCCAGCACATAGGACTAGAGTCAGCATGAAACAAATTCTTCTGAAATACATAGCATCAAGCCTTCTCCAACAGCTGTTTCCTAAAAAGCTGCTCTAACCCATCTGCACCACTTTGTTAAACTAAACACTGCCACAGAACACCATATAATACTCGTGCTTACAAAAATGTTCTGAAGAGGAAACGGAGAGGTAGAAGAAGAGCAAAGAAATCAGAGCAGCTTGGCATCAAATAACTTTTACTGATAGTAGTGAGCACATGTTGCTTCAAGCTCAGCTTCCTGCCAAACTCTTCCCAGATGCCACTTAAATGGCTCAAGGAATGAAATGAGGCAGCCAGGCTAGGTACAGCTAGACTCTTAACCTGAATGCCAAGCTGGTGAACTTCCCAGAAAAGCTATGCTCTAAGAAAACTGAAATAGCCAGCATACCTGCAAACATCTACATTACAGTCGTCTCCTCTTAGGGGACTCTAATGACCACGGCTGTTAGTGGAATTCGGATTATTTCACTGGGCAGACGCAGCTTTTATTTTGAGAATTGCTCCCCAGGAGCTACTAAAATAAAAAGACTAAGTCAACAACCAGTAGGTGAACATACTCTTTTTACAGAAGTTTAACTTCCCTGAAGAACAAAAATCACACGTCTTTCCTTACTTCAAGGAAATAGGTCAGGCAAGTAAGACTTGTTTGACTGATACGGGAAGGGGAAGCCCCCAGTCTATTCATGAATTAAAAAGAGAGAGAATAGTAAATTTGATTGAAACACTGCTAAATCTGTGATGTATTAAATGCCTACTCCAAAGAAAGGGCTCTTTTGAAGCTTTTCGTCCTGCTTCACCTATGTGATTTTTTGAAAAAATCTAACTGTTTTGGAAAGACTGCTCAGAACCGCTTGGGCAATGAGCCAGAACTGTCTGTTGATGTCACCCCCTCCCCTTTAGTTTTTTAATAAATTGTATTGAAGACATATGAATACTCCTATTTCATTTTCACTGAAAAGAAGGTGTGTTGAATGCCAACCTTAAGTGATTTGAGCATCGGAAGTGTAAAGGCACCTTGAAACTATGATTTGTCTTTCGAATATATGCTTCTATCTTTGTTAGTGAAAAAGAGCAACAGTTAGAAACTAGATACACTAGTGTTAAAGATTTTCAGTATCCCCATGAACACTGTTTTAGCTTCTCTTAAGGAACTTTTTGTGGGACCTTTGCAGAAATCAACCCATGTTAAAAAGTGTCACAGCAAACACTTTATGCCAAGTCAGTAAGCAGCCGTAACTGTGTGCATTATTGTTTTGTCTCAGTTCCCACACAGACTAATGTAGTTGTTAAACACTGACAAAAGTTTTGTAAGACTACCTAAACATGCACAGCTACAACTGTGCTCTTTCCTAATCCACTACAGCTAATTTGAAACCAGGGACTATTTTTGAATACACTACTCCTTTCCAGAGGACATTACCTTTTGGACTTGTCTACACCAAGTTTGGTTTCCCATCATTCTGTCTCCATCCACTTTGCTCCTCTAGTCTTGATTAACTTTCAAAACTTTGTCATCATCAAGTTCTTGCATGGCAGTTCTCATCTTCAGATCCCTAACAAATAAATACAGCTCTCAACACAGATCCGTAGACACTCAGTCCACAACTTCTTTTTTTGCAAAATTAAATAATTCCTTCTGAATTACCTCACTATAATTAACTAAATTTAAATATAAATTTTTTTAAAAAAAACAAGCAAACAAACAACCAACTGCACTACATAGAAACCCTTCCAGCTTTACTACCTCAGTCACGTAGGACTGCAATCCTTTGTGACAAATGCCATAGGAATATAATGGTTATGAGCTGCTGGAGTACAGGATGAAATCAATTTACATTACGATATAGCAATTTCAAACACACCACCATTAAGTGCAATGATACAATTAAATATGGTGGCACAGGACCAGCAGGGCTTTCATTACCTTTTAACATGTACTATTACCCCCTCTTCGGAAGAGGGTGTCTCCCTTTGGCAATTCCCCTTTGCCACACATTCCTCAAGAAATGCCACGGTTCATGGGTCCTGCTCTGAGCATCTTGTGAGGCTTCAGATCAGCGGAGGCTGAAACCATTCTCCCATCACTGAGCTTTCTTGAGGCTTAGTAGTGAGACTTCACAAAGATCTATTTAATCTCAGTTTGGTTCTGACCTCAGCACAGTTTTCTAAACAAGTAGTTTTGTAAATTCTGCAAAAAGTTCTCTGATTTCTCAACCTCAGATTTCTTTCACACGAGATTACATCTCTTCCCCTGCACCTTTTCTAATGTAATCCTAGACTTGATGCTGAACTGAAAATCCTGGAGCTCCATATTAAACCAAACAGCAGGTGGAATAGGAGCAGCTGAAGCACTTGTCATTTCTCACTGAAATACCTCAGACCTGACCAGCAGGATGGCACAGGTGGCAGAAGTGAAATTCAAGTCCACTCGCTGGATTCTTTGGCATGATTATCAAAGAGGCCACCTAGCACAGCAGTCACAGTGAGTTTTAGGGTATGGACAGTCATATCTCTAAGACATGCTGACTCACTTCACACAAACTAGATGCAGGCACAAAATCACACTGAGTTTGAAGACATGATAGGGAGTAGTTAAGTTCTCTCTTCATCACCCTGAGCATTTTGATTTGTAAGCCTGTGCTTTTATTCTGGTTATCCAATAACACATTCGACCACCGTATCAAAGCTGAATAACCACCAGTGAGACGAGTTGTCCATCTGTGACAAGATCACATGCACAGCTAAGGATGTTCTTGAGAAGACTGAAAATCTTTCTGCTAGATTCTGACCACGTCGCCTATACCTCAGCTTCTTGCAGTGGTCAGCATAAAAACCCCAAACCTCATGTGGGCAACCTTATATTCTGCCTTTACGGGACTTCTTCGCGAATTGTAACTGATTCCACCCTCCCTCTGAGTATCCAAACAAGCTCAGTGCTGGTCCCACTGGAAATATCTGGCTTCGCGCACATTTTTTAATGCAAACACCTTCAATGTTCCACTTGGATTTTCCAGGAAAAAAAGGTTTTGTTTCAAACCAAAATGATTAAGAACATACAAATAACAAAAAGTCCATTCCAGGAAACAAAAGTCCTTGCAACTACTCAGCAGTTTCTACTGAAAACCCACCAATCTTCTTACTTCTCGATAGATGGGGGTAGCCAGTTCTTTCGCTTTCTCTGCTCCATTCTCTAAAACCTTTATCAGATGGGATTTGTCTTCCTGGAGTTTCTTGATTTCATTCCTGATAGGTGCAAATTTTTGAATAACTGACTCTGCTACCACCATTTTGTAGTGAGCAGTGTCAAGACCAGCAGATTGCTGCAGCACTTCTTTGATGCTAAGCCCCGTTACTGCAGCATGAATGGACACCAGGTTGGAGACACCAGGGCGACCAGCTGGGTCGTAGGTCACCTCAGAGGTAAAGTCAGTCACAGCTTTGCGGAATTTCAGCACTATTTCGTCAGGACTGTCCGCTATGTTAACAGTAGCTAACTTCTGCGGGTCTGACTTGGACATCTTCACTGTTGGATCTCTGAGGGATTTTATCTTCTTTGTTGTACCTTAACAGAAAATAAAAAAAAGAGGCAATAATTACGAACACATATAGACAATGGTTTCTTATGACAATTGCTAAGAACACTTTGCAGCAGCATGACAAAGCTCTCTGTTTATCTTTGCTTAAAAATGAGTTGTGAGCACAATCGCATATGCTCCTATTTAGTCCTTATGCCCTCCCTGTCCTTCTCAGCCACCTTTCTCCTCACATAAACTGAATTAAAACCTGCTCCATTCGTCCCTTCCTCACCAAGCAGAAACTTCTACTGGGGTATTTCCTAATATTTTCTGTGGCTACATGATAACGTTCCCTGAAAACCCTCTCCTCCTTCGTATTCCTGGCACTAGGGACAAGTTGCCTAGAGAGCACGGACTGCACATTACCGAAAGCTTCTGTAACAGTGGAGAAACAGGTTAAATCCACTGGTAAAGAAGAATTCCAGAATAGTTAATACCCTTGCTTTAGGAAACTCTTCCACCCAAAATCTCTTGGTAATTCTCCTAAATATCAATACAGACAGTTATTAAAAGTTCCCTAACTGAACGTTAACCATCTCTATTACAGGGAAAAAATTGTTCAAATAAGAGAGGTGTGGGTATTGTACAAAACTACTAAGATATATGCAAGTACATGAAAGAGAATAGTAGCATTAAGGGAATATTGCAAAGTACTTTCTTTAACAGTATCAACCCAAACTGTCTCAGTCTTTCTCCGAGAAAATCCATTCATGGAATACACAAAGTATCACTGATCTAGAAAGTACTCACATGAATTGTCTTTAGACACCTAATACAGCCAACTATATTACCCACATACTCCTCATAGATGGCCAACGTACTCGGTGAAAGGAGAAGTATTTTTCCAGGGTGCAATTCAGACTGCCCTACAAAGTGCTCTATTCTGCATCACCTTTCGGAAAAGCCCGTCTCTTTCCTGTAAATCTGAAGGAGTCCAGGTAATCTAACTGGCTACACCTAGTGAGTCTGAATGGGTCCCTAACTCCTCCATTCATCTAGGATATTTCATTGGTTTGCATGTACTTGTGAACTTACAAAGGTACGCTTTTCACAAGGAAAGTGAAAATTTCTTGTTTTGTTTTTCAAATTGAGCTTTTTATTTCCTGGGAAACAGTCTCATCTGCATCACAGGCTACATTCAGCTCCTCATCACAGCGCTTACTATTTAATTGTACACTAGAAACTGCACAGCTTGCAATGCCTTGTATTCTCTAAGCTCCACTCTGGGTCTAACACCATTTTTGTAACTGAGGCTTGAAAACTGAGAAAGGTTTATTACTGCCTGTCTTTTCTAAGGTGAGAGCTCCTTGCCCTTTTGGGGGCGAAGGTCTCTGCTGTGCATTCCTCTACATTACTTACAACAAAGATGCAGTGCTTCTTCCTTGCCCAATTCTTCACGTTTCTTAACAAACATGCCATTTGCGCCATCTGACTCCTCCTCACCCCCCGGCCTATGACCTTATAGCTCAAAAATGGCTGAGAAGATTTTCCTCGTAAGTCTCCCCAAGTCTAAGATCAAAACTGGAATGTCTAAGCTCTGTAAGAGACACTTACTGAAATATGCAAATATGTATTAAACACACTTAAAATATTTTTGAGCACTGTACCAATAAACCTACAAGCTGTTTAGCGTGCTTAATGTAAACATCTAACACTCAGACACTGAAGCATTCTGCTTGCTAGAGGTCTCTTGTCTCGTTGCTTACGAGCCTCGTGAACCAGCAACGCAGAGCAGAGACCATACTTTTAAAAGGTCCAATACTTCTCAAGAGCAAGGCTGACTGGCAGCAGCAGAGTGCATCTGGCCCCTGGACTAGAATACTAGATGTCACATACATTCCTCTACTGGGGATTTGTAAAGCTTTATGCCTATCTTGGGAGTTCAATTTCACAGCCTCTAGTCTCTTGTCAGTTTTTAATTTTCTACTCCCTTTGCATCAGTCTGCTCCCTTTTCTTGGTCCCTTTTTTTCCACAATATTTAAATCCATCTTCAACCTTGAAGTGCAGTTAAGGGGAAGGAAAAAAAAAAAAACCAACCAAAACCAAGACCAGCTCACTTAAAATGGCTTTGGGCACAGGAAAGAAATCTCCATATTTCTTGTTGAAATGTTGTGCTATATCTTGGGCTAGTTCCAGGTGCAGGACTTGATCTTCTCCAACAGGAACATGTGTCGACCTTTTAATAAAAGACAGATACAGGAAACTCAACAAAGCTCTCTAGTTCTGCTGAAATATTACTCAAGACTGTCACAGCTTTTGCCACGACTGAGGGCCAGACTGAGTCAAACACCCAGTCCCAGTTAGATACAGGTGCTACACGAAGAAGATCCCAAACCGACTATATCCCAGGATGAGTCTGCTTTTTGTGCTGAACTGAAGCACACCTCCAAGGGCAAAAATAGCCCTTCACAAAAAGATATACAGTAAAGATATCAATAAGAGCAAATCATTAAACTTGCCTTGAAGAAAAGTTCTTGTAGTATCTCCTGCTGTGTCTCTAAAGATCAAAGAGCATGTGTTACAGTGTGTGAACAAAGTAAGAAAGATCTGCAAGGCATAATGTGCAAGCACCTTGCCGTGTCAAGTCTCAAGAAAACATTACTGTTACAGAACCATAGAACAGTTTGGGTTGTAAGGGACCTTTACAGGTCATCTAGCCCAACCTCTCCTGCAACGAGCAGGGACATCTTCAACTAATCAGGTTGCTCAGAGCCCCGTCCAACCTCACCTTGAATGTTTCCAGGGATGGGGCAACTACAGCTTCTCTGGGCAACCTGCGCCAGTGTTTCACCACCCTCACTGTAAAAAATTTCTTCCTTACAGCTAGTCTAAATCTACCCTCCCTTAGTTTAAAACTGTTACCCCTTGTCCTATCACAACAGGCCCTGCTTCCCCATCTTTCTTATAAGCCCCCTTTAAGTACTGAAAGGCTGCAGTAAGGTCTCCCCACAGCCTCCTCTTCTCCAGGCTGAACAACCCCAACTCTGTCAGTTTTTCCTCATAGGAGAGATGTTCCGTCTTTCTGATCATTTTTGTGTCCCTCTTCTGGACCCGCTCCCACAGCTGCACGTCTTCCCTGTGCTGAGGGCTCCAGAGCTGGACACAGAGCACCAGGTGAAGAGGGCAGTTCTTCCTCATGGGTCACTGTCACATAAATATCATGTAGGCCAGTGTCTCTATTGCCACAAGTGTTATCACTCAAAAATTAGAACTGTTAAGATCAAAAAAATAATTTGATCTTCTGTATTGAACTCAGGAGCCTGAATGGACTTCTGGGGGAAAACACAATCTGCATCAGAGGACACAAGGAGGTGAAGAATCCATTAGTTCCCCTGGTGATACTTTCCCACAGTTAATCATACTTGCTAAAAATGTATGATTCTTTCAGATGAGGCAGACTTGAAGTCTTGCCAGCTTTTGATTACTCTCCCTTCCCCCAGCAGACTTTTTTCCTAAGGCTTGTGGGGTATTCAGCTCTGAATTCTGGATATGTTCCAGTGTAAGAAAGTTCACTATGCATCTTTTAAGTTCCCAGAAAATTTCAGTTCAACACGGTACACTCCTTCCTTCCGATTCTGAATTACTGGGCTGACATGCAGGAATCAATTTGTCCACCTTTATTCCCCACCAAACAGTCAGCAAGGCAACCTAAAAACAGTTACAGTAGCCAATAGGAAATCACACTGGTCTATAACTAACAGAAAGAAAATCCGTTACCATAATCAATATACTTTAAGCAGGTCAAAAGAAACGTTTCCATATGCCAAAATGGTTCCATATTCACCAAGTTTGCCACTAAACAGAAAACATATTGTCTTTATAAATGCCTCTGCATGATACTTTGCCTTTTTCCTTGCTGTTTTTTTTTTAAATATTTCTGTGCTGGTGCTATTTTTTATTCCTTTCTGTCATATATTTACCTTCTTCGCATTTTCCTGCCTCTTTGATCCTTGGTTCATCTGAATTAATACTGTTTCTACCCCTCCCCCAGCTCTTAATTCTTCACTGCCGTTCCCTTCTTGTGTTTCCATTTCCCCCCTGATTCTTGTTCCCTATATTATGTTTTTACATTAAAACATTTCTTATTAAAGATATTATGTCATATTTCTTCAAAGAGATACCATTTCTCTTTCACTTCCTTGTTTTGTGCTCTGTCTGGACAGCCTGCTGTTAATACACACGGTACCAAACAAACCACAGGCTTCACTATGGAATGATGAATCACACGATCTTATTAGAGATAGAAGCGACATACATGGTTGAACTCAATCAAAACAGGGTGATTTCTGATCAAGTTGTCTAAATTTCACCCTTAAATACTGCTTGACAATCAAACGGGACTTGCTGCTTAGAAGATTATTTTCATGTTCAAATTAATTCTGACTTTTGTTTGCTTCTCATTGTTTTTAGTTAAAATCCAAGTGAATTAGAAATATCATCTACTGGTCTTCTAACATTACTGTTTTTCCCTACTAATGATCACTTTGGATCTCTAGATACATTTTTCTGGGTTAACAACTGGCTCATTTTGGTTACTCTGTCCTCCTAAAGTCCCTGTCCTCATAGCCCTCTATTACTTCTCTGTCCCAACAAATATCCACACCTTCACTTAAGAACAATTCCACAAAGTACATACACTCGGAACATAAAAATAATACACAGCGCATTGTCTCTAACATTTACTTACTGAGACAGTTTAAAACATATTATGAAATACAACCAGTCACGAGAATGCACTACAAGTTCTACCAGCTAGGCTACAAACATAGACACGCTTAGTCACCAATCCCTCATTAGGGTGTATTTCCATTGCAGCACATCATACACCACAAAGAAAACTGAACTAGCTGAGGTACCACAAGGTGCAGTAAATTATTCACTTTATCATCAGTATCAACAGGCCTACTCAGAATCCCACACTAATATGGGTATACTACATACAGCCAGTTTAAATAGCTGTACAGTGCACTGCATAAACTACTTTTAAAAAAGTATGCATGTGAATATGCAATATGTAAAATTAAACACCAATGTGTTATAATTCCCTAAGAATTAGCCTGAAGTGACCAGCTTTTTCTCTTTACAGCCTGTCAGTTGCTTTCAAACCAGGCTAGATTTCAACCAGCCGCTTGAGAAGTAAAAAGCTGTCATCCATTTCCAGTCTTCTTATCTAATCACACCCAGCTCCCCCACTTAATAAGTTAGCGTGTTGACCTGACGAACATTCATTCTAATGCAGCTGAACAGACATTGCCCATGGGCTCCCATTCTGCCTCTTACTTGTACAGCAAAATATCTGCTGCTTGAAGCACAGGGTAAGTCAACAAACCAACAGTTCCGTCATTATTCTGGCTGGCACGCTTCATCTGTTTGCAAAAGAAAAACAGAAAGAAATCACCCTTTTGGCTAACAGTATCAAAGTCTCTGATTTTAATTAATTGGAATTCCGACTAATTTGAGTAACTTATTGTATTCCCTAGAGAAAAACGTGCCATGTAAAATTCATGCTTTGTGAATACGCATATCCCATTTTATGTCCTATATTTATAAATTTCTCTGCACTGTTCCGATATTGTAATGAGGAGGCTTGTATTTTCTTTCTGTTTGTAATCTTACTAACAAAAATGATCAAAAATATAAAGAATCAGTATAGGTTATTACATTTACTATTGATAACACCTACTTTTTAAATAGCATTTTCAGCAGCAAATTTTTGAAACACTTTATAGTAAGACATAAAAAGTCATTAATACCTGTGTTTCACAGAAAAGAGATCAAGACGGCGATCACACACAGTCACCAGGACAGACAGTAACAGCTAGGAGGCGGACCCAGAACTACAGAGGCTGAGTCCAGCCTTCTCTACTTTAGTTCACACTGCTCCCAACAACCACCAACTGTCCTGAAGTCCTTTACCCCTCCAGGATACGGATCATTTAAACCAAGGTAGCCAGGCTACAGATACTCATTCTGTTCAAGCAATGCCTTATCTACTTTTTGCTTTAACAACAGTTAAATACTCTAAAATCCTTAAAATTTGAATTATTTCATTCAGACTATTAAAATATCTTTAGATTTTTCTCACCCTCTCATACAGATACTGTCTTCCGCCTACATCTCTAAGTGCCTAGGGTTCAGAAGTCCTAATTTGCAAAGCCTAGCACCTGTAACACCTATCTGTAGATCTGGAAAGTCAATCCAGTCAAAGTTGGATTTAAGAGCTTAACTTTAGAACCTCAGGTTTGAAACGGTTGGCTTTAATCTATGCCATGCATTAACGCTAGTTGCTGTATTTAAGTTTTACTGGTTTTATTTAATTAAGAAGAAAAACAGTAAAAAAGAAAACATCTGGAGGTATTTTACTTCTCTCTCCTGCTTTTTGTTTTTTCTGCTTACTAAATGCCAAAATACAATATATGGCAATTAAATGCAAGCATTCAGTTGATGCAGTCATCATGATGCCGTACCAAGACTAAGAAGATGAACACTTGAAACTTGTAAGGGCAAACATTTAAGGTGCATTAACTTTATCATTCAGCACATTGTTAATACTTATAATTTCTATACTCCTCTTCTTATGGAACTCCTTAATCAGCAAGGCTCAAGGTTTCCACTGCAATATCTTGTAGTTGTTTTGCATTATCGAATAAGCATTGAAATAACTCCAAGCATTCTAGCAAAATCAGTTTAACGACACTAAACAACCTTCCTATTTACTACAGTTTCTGCAAGTCTCTGCCAAAAATATTATCCTGTAGCTTCCAGCAGAAAAACGTTCACTGAGAGCAACAGATATGGAAAGACACATTTTCCTCCTTCCACCACAGGACTAGAGAATTCTTAAACCTAAAGCAAGGATAACCAAGGTGCAGTTGGTACTTCACAGAGAACAAGTATTTCAAGGACAGCAGTTCTACTGAATTCCCATACATTTAATTTCCACTTACGAAACTGTCCATACCTTCCACTGGGGCAAGCGTAGCAGACGTGGCATGTTAGTTAAGCACCCAAGAACCCAGGCAAGTTCTGCATGCTCAGGAACCTGGAAGCACAAAGTCAGAATCTGTTTAAACTTCTGCATTTATATGCATATTTTTTCAAAATCAATACACATTAATAGTATCAGAGATCAGAAAACCATTTGGTTTTGTGTACTATTTTTTCAGTAAGGTCAAAGGACAAACTAATGGAAAGTTTTGGACATCTCATAGATTGAATGCACTACACTCAAGCAGCATAGCAAGGTTCTTGATCTCATCCACTCCTATTCTAAAAAAGAAAAAAAAAATGCTTTAGCAATAACAGCATTGAACACACATGTAAACTAACCAACTGCTGGCCACTGTGCCACAGTCTCCTCACACTTTGACATAATACATTAATAGTTATAAAAACTCTTTGCCTTTCATATTTCCTGTGCCAATAAGATACCCAGACTTCACTTCTTCTGCAGCAGGGCCCTGAATGGACTAATTTCCCTTAACTGTCCTCACCAGCCTCACCTGAGCCCTCCACCCATACCCTCTGCCCATGGCCCCAGGAGCCCCATTTAAACTCAGGCCAGACTGCCCCTAGTCCTTGCCTGAGCTACACTACACTGCAGTATGTCTGGCAGTATAATAACTGCAGGTCCTTCACAGAAGCCTGAGCTAATAGACAGGAAACAAGAAGTGCTGGGCTGCTCCATGAGGCCCTGGCTACAGACAAGCAGTAACAGTTACCTCCCTGACCAGGACAATGTCCTGCAGTATTTAACCAGGGCAGGGGTGGTGACGGTGACAGTCTGGTGATCACCAGACATAGCAAGGTAACTTGTAACATCTGAGGTCAATCCAGGAAGCCCAGCGAGAAAATTGGGGCAGCAGGGATAGGGTTGAGCACACTGTGACATACCTCAGGTGAAGACTGGGAGCCTGAGCTTAAGTGGAGCTCCTGCAGCATTGGGCAGGAAGTGCATGGGTGAAGGGTCCAGGTGAGGCTTGTCAGGGCTTTGGGTACACCAACAGGTCTTAATGACCCTGACCTGTCTGCAAAACAGGGATAACAGCTGAAGTCAAACTACAGTCCAGCCTGAATTGTGTCTTAATAGAATCATAGAATCATAGAAAGTTTTGGGTTGGAAGGGACCCCTAGAGGTCATCTAGTCCAACCCCCCCACAGCGAGCAGGGACACCACTAACTAGATCAGGTTGCTCAGAGCCCTGTCCAACCTGGTCTTGAATGTTTCCAGGGATGGGGCCTCCACTACCTCTCTGGGCAACCCGTTCCAGTGTTTCACAACCCTCATTGTAAAGAACTTCTTCCTTATATC